TCTCAGACAGACACATTGAACACCAACGGCAAAAAGATATTCATAAATTTACCGCGCGTTTCAGCAGTATCAGTATGATAGCGAGGCAATCGCGTTAATATTATCAGACTTACACACGCACCTATGTACATGTGCTTCTTTATCATTTCGGGTATTGTTTAGACGCACAGCCGATTGAGCAACGTTTACGCTTCTGCGGCAGCTGATTTGCTCGGGGCCTTATACAGAGTGGCCTAGATTCATCTCTGCAACATTCGTGGGAACGTAGAACGGATTGAGTTGGACATAAAGATCCCATACTGTTATGCGATATTCGCAATAAATGTCGAGATATTATCGTAATTAAGGAAAATTGATGAATGATCACGCGCTATGTAGTAGATGACTGTAGTGGCGCCATCTGCTTGTATACCTTTGCATTGTATACCTATATATCAGGTCAAATTGAACAAAAGTCCTCTGCCATCTTGCAAATGGCCATGTAGATTTTTAGGTATTAATTAAAGAAGATTATTATCGCGCACAATTTTCTTTCATTAATAATTAAAAATTTACGTGGTTATTTGCTAAATGATAAAGGACTTTTTTGTTCAATTAGACCTAATGTGTAAGTACACGACAGCACACATTGCCACCAGAGCTCATCTGTCATATCGCGCATTCACTAATCTTCTTTAATTAATACCTCGAGATTTATTGCGAATATCGCAAAATGACATGGTATTTTTATGTTTACCTCAATTTGTTCTGTTTCCACAAACGTTGCGGAGGCAAATATAGGACACCCTGTATACTTTCGACCGATACTTGTGTAAAATTATCCGAACGAGTTGTACGCGATGACGTATACTTACGATAACCAAAGCGCCGTTATGTAATAACACGTGAATTTCGGCTTTGCGAAGAAAAGTTAGTACTGCCGCGTGCGTATGTATGAAGTATATGATTTAATCGTCTCTTTAAACGCTTTAAATGAAGCTTTTTAAACATATGCGTAATACGTGATGCATTTTGTATGTAATGTTTAATTGCATGGAAACATTTAATTTTATTGAATTGCAACCTCATGAAAGAATCAGATTATCTTGGAACGTCATCTTTATATATTTACGATTTAATATAAATATATGATTACAATTTATATTTTTGAAATAAATTATATATATATATATATATATATATATATATTATAAAAATATATATTTATATTAAATATAATATAAACACTGAATATATTAATACGTTGAAATAACCAATCGTTACGTATAATCGTTATCTCGCATAGAAATTTCCCGGGATTCTCCTAGATACAGCTAAATTCTAATTGGAATGATCAAATTTGTGCCAAAATTAGTTATCCCACCCACTGCAATACCAATTGACAATTCCATTATTGTCCCAAATACGCGTGGGTTCTCTGTCTAGAGTCAAAACAGAGATACTATGGACATTCGCGCTTTTTTCAATTAATAACGTCATTTGATACTTTCTATTTGATACTTTAATAGTATCAAATAGAAAATTCCACTTTTGTACCATCTCTTATATTTAATAGAATAAGAAACGAAAAAAAATGAAAAAATGTTAGATAATGAGTATTTTATTGAATAATGAAATTATTATTATTTGGAAAACTAATATTTCCGTATTGTTCAATTCCACAAATAAGAAGATCAGAAAGTATACGGGGAAACTTTGGATTTCCCACTTAGAATCGTATGTTTTAAACATTCCCGTATGGAAATCTCCCAAACATTCCCAAGTAGAGCATACATTCCGATCAGATTATCTAAATTTGTTCCAAATAATCCTGCCTTGCGATATGAATTGGGAATCTTATTCATAATCCAACTATAGAAATTTGTCTAAAGTCTAATTGGAATCTGCTCCGATTCCCCAAATAATTAAAGTTCCAATTCTAAATGGGAAATTATATATCTAAAGGCAGAAAAAAGTTATCTAGAAAGAGTAAAAGAAAAAGAGAGGACTCAGAGAATAATAAAGTGATAATTAGTACTTTCATAATTATGATTTATAGAAATATAAAATGTGTTCGTTTTAAAATACTGTTAATTGTAAATAAGTGAAATACACTTAAATGTGTAATATGTTATTAAAGTTTTGTATTTGAAATATAAAATATATGTTGTTTCTTTCAAGACATTTATAATTTATTGCAAAATGAAATTTGAGCATAGTACTTGAAACGTATATTTACGCTTTTTAAATATTTATATTCGTAAAGTGTGCGTAAATACTCAAAGTATCCCAGGTATTTTATCCTTAAATATAACTTAGAAATCGAAAAAAAGGAAACTTTAGGGAAATGTTTGGTAAAGCAAATGGGATATTTTTTGGTTTTCTACACTTATAGAATTGCATTTTTGAGATACGAAATCAAAGTCACAATAAGTATAAAAAAATTCGTATGACGTACTATCCCTACTCTCGAGAGAAAAAAAATTAAAATCAATTTTTATATTCGGTTTTTCGACAGCGCTATAAACAAGCGAGCGTTGTCAAGTCGACGCATGAAAGATGTAAACGCCAGAAGTTGCAAAAGAAAGACATGACCGGTTTTGGAGACGCCGTCATAAAGTATTTCGGATGATTTCGGGATAAACTGAGAGAGAAAAAGAGAAAGAACGAGAGAAAAGGAGAGAAAGGAAGGGAGGAGAAGAGAGAGGGACGAGCGAATATGCATAAAATATTTAGGGAGAAGCGAAACGCGGTGACCGATGTTTGCGTCTCGTCTTCGTGGCGACTCGACGAGAACGTGTCATCGACGAAACAGTTAATCGCTAGATGATAGTGCACAATTATAATTACATGCGTATCCGCGGCTATAACGCAATAGTTGTGTACACTTGAAAGGAACAAAATCCAAGGCTCCATTTGCCGGTTAACATTGGGAAAAATCACGAACGTCAATGATTGCTGTGTCAGGTGATGTTACGCGTCCGTACGTACATGAAAGTACAGTGCATGGAAGTAACAGATAAACGTATCTGTTATTACGTGTGTAAAATATCGCTATCATTGTGTTCCTAATCGTACCTGCGTATTCTACGTAACACGACACGTACACCATTTGCCGTATATCACGCGACTCGGCTACCGGTTTCCTCTACGTTTTTTTCTCTCCTGTTTCTCTAGCTGCACGAATCGCGCATTGTCGCAATGCCGGTACGATGTGGAGACATTAATTATGTTGCGCGAGGCTTTGTAATAAGAGAGTACGAACGATCGACCGAGTGTTATTTTATATTGAATGTACATCTAACACATATACCATTATATTTATACACCAGGTATTAAAATATCGAATGTAACGGAGATTGATATGAATTTGCGCGACTTCTCGAATCGAGAGATACTTCTGCGTGATGTTTATTGTGTAATATTGATGCTTGTACGATAAGAATAAAAATAAGCTTTAAAAACCGACAATAGGCACCCCCTGTCCCTTTTTCATCGTCGAAATATTTCATGTCGAGAGAAAAGAAGAACAAAACTGCGACAAATACTCGGTCGCGTCTCGGCAACTTCATAAGAAAAGACCAATATCGACTCGATGAAAGTAGTTGCATCGCGAGGTAACCTATCTTCAGTGACACACAGAGGCCACTCATAAGTTTTCTATTTGTCAAATAAAATTACGTTTCCATACATTTATTTCCCTATCTAAGTGTCACTGTTAATTTGAAATAAAATTCAGATAAACATACATATACACAATATTACGAATACGAAAAAATTATTATTATCTGATGATTGCTTTATTCATACATCAGTTTTTCTAATAGTGATGTAATAAGAAAGATGATAAGTAATAAAAGAGTTATATAAATGCTTAATTATGTGTATATATATCTCGAATATTATAAACTTTCTATCGTTGTATTTTGAAAATAAAAAAAAAGGTCAATAATTCTAAAATTTATAATGTATATAATGACTGTGTATTGGTCTTTAATATCATAGTTTTCCATTAAAATCTCACGTGTGTGCCGCACGTGCGTAAAGAATTAGAAGAATTTAGAAGATATTAAAAGTAAAAATGAAAAATAGTGTGCTAGCCACAAGGAGCACGTGTAAAAAGCGTCAACTTTAGTTGCGTATATTTCAGCCTTCGAATAGTCAACCCTCCTCTAATTACACTTGGAATTGGATAATATTTCCTTCCATATAGTAGTGCAAGTTTCGTGAGATGCTGAGGAAACTCGCTTCATGATGCAATTGCCTCAAAGAACGTGTTGCCGAAATAACGATTCGAGCTTCCGTAGAGACGCGCGCGCGATGTTTAGCGATGTCTAACGCGACTCAACAATACCGCGGTTTCACGGAGTTGGCGCGCATGTACGCTATTCACCATGCCATAATAAGGCAGTCCAATCCGCGAGCGCGATTAGACGCGATCCCTAAAGCCCGTGTCACACTACGGATTGGAAATGGAGAATTGCGGATTGAAGATTAGATTTCGACGAATCAATCATGGACGTAGTATACAATGACCCCGCATACGGCCAGAAAAGTGAAGCCAATATGTACAGCCTCTCTCTGTTCTCTGTCTCTTTCTGCACAAAGTGTGCAATAAAATTTAAGTAAGACTTTTACGTGCCAGTCTAGTCGGGGTACTGTTGCGCTCTATAGTATTATGGAAACGAGAAATGGATGCACGCGCAACAAAAAAGTGACAAAATAGGAAGAAAACTATAGCTCCTCTATTCTAGCTTTCTTTCTAGATGTTGGCTTCACTCTATTAGACGACAGAACATAGGGCATTCGGAGTCCATGTATACTATGTTCATGGAATCAATGCACTTTGGTCTTGGTCTGCTTGGCTCCAATTGGTCAAGTTCCAATTTTCAATCCGCAATCCTCTATCTCCAATCCGTAGTATGACACGAGCTTAACGAGCAGCGTGCTCGTGTACACGCATATCCGTTCACCTTGATACACCCCGCGGCCTTATTTTGTAATAAGACAACTAGCCTGACCTTGGTACCGGCATGATGGTGTTGGTGCGATGATGGTGAGGGTGATGCTGCTGCTGCTGCTGCTGCTGCTGCTGTTGCTATTGATGATGCACGCGGTCATCGGTGCCGATAATCCCTGGATGGAGCGTCTGCTGTGGGCTCGACTGCGTGTGCAAATCCCGCATGTATGGTACTTGCTGCTGCGGATGCCACATATTGTACTCCGAGATGTACTTGTCGAAATACATGCGTACGCACGTTTCCACCACGGGAAAGGATTCTCGGACTCTCTGTCTCTTCTTCTCAATAGTCCATTCGGTCGTAGCGTCGTCGACCGCTCTCGCTAGCCATTCCGAAATGCGCTGACTGTGTGTCCGTTGATACACTTTCACAATTCGCCGATATCACTCGACGCGGTTTTCACGCCACATGTGCGATCAGAGAATCGAGAAAAAATGTCACTTATCTGTATTTATTTTTTATTCAGTGTCCTCACTCGGTTGCGTCGACAAACATTTCGCGCGAATGTCAGCACGCTTTGCAGCAGGTGTCCTGGCGTCGTACGCCATATTGGAGAACGCGTCTGGAGATGCGTCGTTGTTGTCGTCGTCGTAGACGCCGTTGTCAACGACGCCGTGGTCAGCGACGATTCGACTCGGCTGTTCAGAGCGTTATCGCGCCGGTTTGTTTGCCGGGCGAATTAAAATTAGCCGGCGTTTTATCGCGGCTATGCGATCGTGCCTTGGCGCGATAATAGAATCACCTCTTGTCCAGCAAATGTGCCGCCAAGCTCGTCGAGCTTGCCGCCGGCCAGTCAACGAGGTTTACCGATGCCGCGCATTCCGTTGCTCCCGCGGGAGAGCACGCTTTCACGTTGTCGTTTAGTGGCGATATGTCATTTCCCTCAACAATGCATAAACGCTATTCTCCGCGGACGTCGCGTATCAGAGTATGGTGCGCCGTGAACGCTACACAGGTATTACACGAAAGAGGAGCTGAATCCCAGATGTTTCGACGCGTCGATCTCAATCGATCGGCGAGACTTTCCGCTGAGAGACGGTCAGTCCACGTCGATCGTCGCCGCACTTGTTTATGCGTGCGGACGCTTACCGACGCGCTCACTCTGCCAATTCCCCGCCGGAAGCTTGCACCGGCTTTGTTGACATCGCGTCTGAGAGCCGCGGCCGCGAGGTGGGGGAAGCCATCGGAAGAACTCGCGATTGCACAATCGCGAGTTTCTCAACGATCGCGAGATCCAGAGATCGCGCGGATCCCTCTCTTTCTCCGCTTCTCTCCCTCCGCCGTTGCGGCTGTTGCGCACAAATGTGCGCTGCGCGGTGACACGAGCGCGAACTGCCGCCGCTTGGCCTTGACACAATGTCCCGAATGTTTTCACCGTGCCGCGCCGGCTGCTCCGCGGACGCCGTCGATTCGCCGATGATCGCGATGATCGAGAATCGGCTCTGCTGGCGCTGCCTTGCGCGCGCACGCGTGCGCGCGCGCTCGCCGATACGCCGCACTGGATTGCGAATTCAGTCTGTGTTTCGATGCTTTCTCTCCTTTTTGCGAGACGCCAAAGGGCACTCCTTCTCAGGAGGAGTCTGCGACGAAACGATGCAAAGTACTGCGAAGCTTCGCGCGAAAAATTGCGGCGCGCCGCGACGCGACACAGCACGACGTCGTGCACCTTTCGCGCGGGCACTCGCGAAACTGTCAGCCGGCATATCACGCGGCACCGCCGGAGACAGGATCGGCCGAATGGAAAGGGAGAAAGACGATAGAAAGAGAGAGGGACGTGCAACGCACAGAGAGGATAAAAAGAGAGAGCAATACCGGCGAGACGCGACTCACGGCAGTCGGATGCGAACTGCTGGACGACCGCTACCCCCACTCAGCCCGACAATCAGCGTTTCCCCTCTCGCCGAGACGACCAATCGTCGCTCCCCTCGTCTGCACCCGGCGCGTCTATACGTGCCGCGAGCGCCTGGCGTGATAACGCCACATTATTAAGGTCGCGCTCACATCGTCGCGGCTCGTGAGTTGCCTGATAAGGAGGAAATTTCGGAAAACGCACATGTGTACTGCACGTAGTCGACGTAAACTCTCGTTCTCTCTCTGTTCATTTCGTGACGCATTTCTTGGCGCGCGCGCGTATAGAGTTCCTCAAGTAAGAGTTTAAATAACGTTTCGATTTTTCATCGAAAATGACGTTCGCGTATGTTTTATTTATCAAGGATATCTACTCGGCTCGAGTTAACCTTAAGATAAAACTATACTTAAAAAAAAACCGGTTTTTAATCGCTGAAAAAAAATAGAAAAAAACGATTTTTGGCGAAACATTGTTTTTTCTTTTTTTAGAAAAATTGCTGTTTGCTACTTAAAGAAAATATATTTTAAGAAAAAAATTTTTATTTTATTTGAGGAATAAAAATATTGTTTCATTTATTTATATATAATTTGCTTTTGTTTTTCTTGTATTTGACATCATTATTAATTAAGAGAAAAAAGATTTTTAAATTAGAGATTGTAGAGTAAAAACAAGTAAACAAATTAGAGTATTGTCATAGAGTTTCAGATTTTTAATATCTTTGTAAAATGAAACTTTCTTTGTAATGACGTAATAATTATTATATAATCAATAAAATTGTAATATAATAACCAAGAAATATATAAGATACATGTACAATTTGCTATCAGATTCCGTTTACAAACTATGTTGATCGAACAACAGCAAATGATGGACATGGATTATTATGGATTTCAGATCATGTTCAATCTGTCATCAGACTGTTAATAGATTGCTTACTGGGAGGGGAGAAAGAGTCAATTTAACTTTAGTTAAATACGCGTAATTATCTTCTTTACGAAAAGAAATAAGTATGATAGGTTTTAACCAAACACACATGAATTTTTTAAAACAAATTTTTTTATCATTGAGAAAGAAACTGATGAAATCTGCGGAAAGATTGAAAAAAAAACCAGTTTTTTTCGTGTGCCTTCAAAATTATAAAAGAAACTTTTTTGTGCATTTATTTGCAATACTACCGATAAAAATAGATCTTTTAATGCAATATAATTAGCAATTGCTTATTTCTAAGAAATCAATTTTTTCGTATTTTTATCTGCAATCATAAAATAGCGTTTTCTTCTACAGAAAAGTCTGTAGTGTTTCGTATCTCTTACATATAGTTTTCAGATCCGCCATTTCCGATCAAACAAGAAACTAGACCAATAAGTAAGAAGTCAGAGGTGTGTTCAGACTCTTGAGGAATTCTATTCGCGTGTGCTTCTTAGGTTCTGTCCACAATGGAAACGAATATTTCCTTCGTACACGGAGAAGATATTGTAGTAATAATTACATTGAAATTATAGCTTTTTCTGCAATTATGTGTATTTTCTTTTTGAAAAATTGGTCTGCACTGAAATTGTAATTGTAAAAAATTACTACACCGAGAGATATCTAAAGAATGAAAAATATTTATTCGCGCGGTGGATATTAATAACATATTTACTTGTATTAATATAAAATATATTTTTCAGATAAGAATATATAAATCTTCTTAAAGTTTTAAGAAAACCTAAGCTCTTTATGAAAGCAATTGTTTATTGTACTTAAATAAAATATTTTAGAATTAAATAAATATGCTATATATATTACTATTCTCCCTCCATCAAATATTTACTGTACTTTTAGACATTTTTACTTTCAGTGTGCAGAAATAGTAAATTTGACTATGTACGTAATGCATAATAAAAAAAAATATTCAACAAAAAACAGAAAGAAAATAGTTATAATAATTTTATAGTAAAATGTGTATAACACTTTTAAACGAATATATAATAATTTTAGTTATAATTTTGAATGGTTCAAGATTACAAAAATTTTGTTGTTGTAATATTCACTATATTATTTTTTCTATGTACACATTTTTTTCAGGTTCAAGTATCAAAATATTGTAACATATATCTTAATAATATTTGCATACTTATCTTAATAATATTTACACGCATGAAATTTGTAATTATCGAATATAATCTTACATTTTTTTAGCTATTTTAGGTATTCAAATATTTAGATATTAGATATTTAGAGATATTACAATTTTTTTTCAAATATTTTATGTATTATAGATTTTTCGTTAAAGTTAGACGCCAGCCTCTTACTTATTACGTGAATCTTAATATAGTTGGAACGCGCATAAAATTTTTAAGATAAACGCAATAGAGATATGTGAAAACAAATAAATATCTAGCGTAAATATCTAAATATTTACGAGCACAGGAACGTAATCTTACATCCCTACTATTTCCGCTACTGTATCAAACGACGATTCTATTTTAACTTATTGTTTGTCATCGAAAAAGAAACAGTTTATTTTTATATATAGTAGAATTCGATTGTTCTGGACGGCACGATTCGTCCGATCGCATAATGAGCCACTGAGGGAATTTCTCATGACTCTTGCGATATACAAGTCGCGAAAGCACTGTAACAATATCGGGGGTTTCTCTAATAATGATGCGTGCAAACATGAGCCACACAGCGGTGTAACGGCGCGAAGGCCGACCTTTGGAAAATAAACTGCGCAGTTAATTCTCACAAATGCACGGGACACAGATAATAATTTTCGTGTTGAAACGTGTAACGCAGATGCGGCATTGGATTTCTCCGATAACCGATTTGCCGAGAACGCGAAATATTCCGCATTTTTCTAATTTTCTGCGACCCAACTCACGTTTCAAACAAAGCGATCCAACTCACGTTTCAAACAAAGAATGAAATTCGCTTTAAATCCTGGCAACGACGTAATCGCGGCGCGAGGCTCTATTGCGTGTGATATTCCATATATTTTCGTCGCTGCATCGTCGAATACAACGATTTGTATCTAGTAGTATCGCCGTAGATCGTCGTTTTCGCTCTTCCTCTCTATCGCTGAGAGTAAATATTCATTTAACCCTCTTACTGCTGCGGTATTGAACAGCTCAGTTGAAGACCGCTCGCGCTGCGCGAGACGTCAAATTTCTTTCGAATGTTTGTCCACAAACAAGA